GGGGGGGGGGGGGGCATGATGGACTTGACTGTGCTTATGACTTAAAAAAGACCGACTGACTCTGTGACAATCTTCTTGTCTAATACTGCATTTACTTCCTGCAGGAATGGTGACTCTGTTCGATTGCCTGCCAAACTATTGAACTGCCTTGAATTATTTGTAATATTAAATTATCACTGTAATTGGAATGATTTGATTGAATTAATTTAGCACACATCAGGTCCTAACCACCAGAACACTTATCACTTATGCTCCGCCAAGAGCATTTACATTATGTACTTGTGTTTTCTGAGACATCTCAACCTCCTGAGTGTGTGCATGTCTGACTGTGCGCCTACCTGTGTGATGTTAGCATACTGCTGCTCCCAGTCCTTCAGCGCCTCCTGCAGGTGCTGTTCCCACATAGTCTGAATGGCTCTGATCTGGAGCTCATTGTGGGTCAGCAGCTGGCGAAGCTCCTCTGAACATGCAGACATACATGTTGACGTCTCTTACCCTCACCAGCCGAATCCTGTTCTACTCTAGCAGTGATTCTTACTGGTCTCGTTTGCAGCTCTGCGTCCCTCCTGGCCCAGCCGGTTCAGTCGCTGCAGCAGTCTGGCATTCTCAGCCTTCAGCTCTTTAACCAAACGCTCAGTAGGACTCTCATTCACCACAGGCCGGTTCTGGATCCGTTTTGCCCTGAAGAAACACATGATGCAGGGAGACAACAGGGGAATGAATGGAATTGTCACACCACCATCCCAACTAGGGGGTAGCTGCTGTTGCTTTGCACTGGAGCTCTTTTACAGGGATGTTAAAGAAGCATGTGGGTAGACAGGAGTAGGTGCAAGAAAAGGGCATTTATGAGCAAAAAATATTAGCTTAGCAAAGGCAGAAATGCCACAGGAAACTAAAAAAAAACTGAAGCTGAGCCAACACACAAAAAGACTGCTGTCACCTCCTGCATCCCTCTGACCTGATTGGCATTTTACCTTCTCAGTCTCCCCTCACCACTTGGTCAGGTTAAGTACAGGGTGAGTGAAACAAAGACAAGGCAATAAAGTCAAACCAAATAATTAGCAAACAGCAATATAAAATATTGCAGTTACTACAAACCTCCAATATCCCCATACATGCACAGAAACACCCTTAAGTACAACAAATTAAATATTTAAGGTAAAACAATTTTACCTGTGCTCTGACCAGTTTCAAAGGCCCCGCCTCTCACTGCAGAGAGGCCCTAACAGTACAAACCTGTGTCCACTATCCCTGATTGAGCCGCTGATTATCACAGGCAGAACAAGGAAAAACATCACACCCCCCACACAAAGTAACACAAACCAACTAACCCGTCAGTGTCATCTAACTAACCAGACTGACAAAACATTAAGCTGCAAATAATGATTTAGCAAACACCCCACTGTTAGCAGGGCCTGGTGAAAGGGAGAAGAATAACCTTTATACACACTTGGAACAGAGGAAATGAAAGCATGACATTGGCTTAGAGAGAGACAGTGGCAAACTGAAGTAATCATCACAGTTCATTTGTACCTCTCAGCATAGCGCAGGGTTGAGAGAGACTCCTCGTAGCAGATGTCAGCAGGGCTCAGCGTGGCAATCTGCAATTAAATGTGTTGACAAGATAAACACTTTCTATATAATGCTGTATTATTTTGGCACTGCACTCTGTACAGTGTATGTTACCATAACGGTGCGACTGTTGCCTCCCAGTGCAGACTGCAGCAGCTTGGTGAGAACTGAGTCTCTGTAAGGAATATGGATGACCTTTTTCCCCACTGCCACATCAGCAAGGGCGCTGGAAGAGAGGGAATGAGAGGATGTGACCAGCACTGATCCACTAAACTCAAACTACATTAAAAAAACAGGCCGACCTGATGACATTGCCCAGCGTGGTGAGGCTCAGGTTGATGGCCGTGCCCTCCTTGAGCCTGTCGGCCTCAGACCCAGACGATCGCTGACGCTCGCTGCCAGCCAGGTCCACTAGATTAATGTTGGACTGCTTTGTGATGCTTTCTTTAGAAAATATCTGACAAGTAAAGATTAATTTCAAACAGCTTGTACATGAGGACATGCAAACAGAGACAGCTGCACAAATGGATGCAGATCAAAAACATGAATGGTTAGGAACATTAAGATACATTTCAAAAAGTAAATCCATCAGTAATCGGAAAAGCATAATTTGGAACGAACCTGAATAAAAATGTATTCTAAATCTGCAGTACCTCTCTGTATTATCTAAAATACTCTCAGACTGCAGCAGAGCCCCGTACTTGCTTGAGCTGGAGAAGAATGACCATGTGCGAGCGACTGCTGTTGGCGTTCATGTGAGTGGCTGTAGTGGTTCGGGTCCTGGTCCCCTGCTCCATCAGCTGCTCCACCTGCAGAAACATCATATTAGAGAAAATCATTACAAGTTTCAAAATGCAAACAAAGAAACACAAAACATAGCACACAGAGACATACAGTATCTGAAATATTTCTGAACATCTCACAGTTTTTATTTCTCTCCCCAAGGGTTCTAATAATGATATGAACATGAACTTACCAGGACACACTGACTGACCTGCAGCTGCAAAACTTTCATTTGAGTTACTTGAAATGACGTAAAATTATTCTAGTGGCGAATCTGGATTTTAAAAACAAAGCTGAACGGCTACAGTGTCAAATGCAAAACAAACAGATTTCTATTCAGCCTGTGTTGTGATGCCTGCTTCTCTCTCCATATACTTTCCATCCCCTCTCTACCTGTGATGCACTGTCACAGGGTACGGTGCGGAGACCCTCCACGTAGAAGCCTCTTTGCTGCTCCTCTCTCACTCTAAGCCCCCCTGGAATTCGAGACCCCCGAGACAGCAGGTCAACCACCTATACAGAGAGATGAGACAAAAACTATGTACAACAAGAGGCAAGACATAATCTACTAATGCAGAGAACTCATAGAAAGTGCAATATCCAGGAGTGGAAAACAAGATGAACAATGAGAAGCGTGAATGACAAGAGCAAAGCAGCTGCTTCTCCCTGTTACCTGCTCATTATAGATTTCCATCATACTGAAAAAGACCTGTGTAGACATAGAGAACAAACATTTAAAAGAATTTCCATCACCACACACAGAGAGATGACACCACAACAGCCTGTTACAGAACACAAGGTCCAATACAACCACTTTCCTTTTTTTTTTTTACCTGACACTGTCTTGTATCCTGGTTTTCTCTTACAACCCGAAACAACCGGTCAGAGAGTTTAGGAACGAGGCCTTTGTTTGGCCCGTAGCCCACCATCGAGTAACTCTTCCCAGAGCCGGTTTGCCCGTAGGCCAGCAGGGTGGCATTGTATCCCTGCAGACATAGTTTCAGGACATTTACTGTTCAAACAGACAAGACAACCTCGAAGTGTCCATGTCAGTGAAGGGACACAGGACAAAACCTCTTGAACACACAGATGGCTACCTGCAGCGCGTTCTCCAGTATTCCCTCTCCCAGGTCCTGGAACACACTGTCCTGGGGGTAGATAAAGTTTTGTCTTGATCAAACACCACTCACCTCTGACTGCAGGGCTCTTCTGACATTACATACAGTCTAAACTTTTCACTTCTATAACACTTTCTTCTCACTGTCTGCTGTGTTCTGTTGCCTGTAGTGAATGCACTAGTTTGTTCTACTGGACTAGTGTGGAGCTGACCTGGTCAGCGTAGCGTCCCCCCGGCTCTTCAGCCACATACAGGCCACTGTGGTCTCGCGTGAAGCCGCTGTGGGACCAGTAGGCGTAGTCGAAGCAGAACGAGCGGCGGTTCTCAGAGTCACGTGGGTCCTGGATGGTGACAGAGCTCGTCACCATGGAGACGATGCAGCGGCTTCCGGCGTCCCTCTCTCTCTGAACAGAGGGAGGAAAATGAACAGAAAGGCTGTGGGGGACTTTCACAACATTTAGTTTAAAGGAAAACATGAGGACGGGAGGAAAGTCAAGTGACAGTGATGTTTCATTAGACGCACAATGATACCGTATAACTACTGTATTACCCCACTGGTAGTGTGTGTATATACACATTAGGAACGCAGCAGGTGAACAGATAAGTGGTATAAATAAGAAATGGTGAAACCACACACACACATACACACACTACTAAATGACTGCACACTGACCTTGTTGAACGGTCGGACTCTGACGGCCACTCTGACACAGTCCTTGCTGTGCATGTCCGAGGCTTTGGCCTTCATAGCACTGCAGGCAGGTATCAGCACAGGAAACTGGCAGACTGACTGATCGATTCCCTCACACAGCAACACAGTAGTGTGTCGAGTTACACACTGACACAATCAGGGCAGCGTGACGGGGCAATGGCGAGCCCAGCCAGTTAGAACTCTTACTACTGGAGTATAAAGTAACTCAGACCATAATGTAGAAGACCCAGCTACAAACTAGAATCAAAAAAACTAACCACAAATTATTGAAACATTTATGTAATGAAGACTATTTAATATGGGAAGACATTAGATCCTGGTGTTTTCTTGGTGGAGTTGAGGCTGGTTTCACTTTCACCTTATCTACCACTATGAATTATTGAGCAGGGAGCGAGCCCTGGGGGAGTCAAATGTATACGGAGCAGCTACACGTTTACTAATCTCAGTAATATTCGCTGATGCTAAATCTCAGCCAACAGCTACATTTTTGACCTGGACATTTTAAACTTTCCTTTTTCAAAATGAGAACTGTTGAAGTTTGATACACTGAGGGACCAGCACCGGACGTCTCCTCTATTTGTGGAGCACAGTAAGAGGCCTGTAACTACCTTCAATGGTTAACTGCACACCTCAGAAAAAAAACTTTGTGGTCCAGTCACTTCATCCAGCCACCACACGAAGAGGCCATTCAATTTTCATGTGTTTTGTGCGCTCAGAAGTCGTATTTTGATTTGATTTGATTTATTCTTTCTATTCTTTTAAATGGAGACACGCAGCCACTAACACATGCACGACAGACAAGAAATTAAAATCACTCAACATCAGAGTAAAGTATTAAAGTTTTACAATATTTATCAGTCATCAAAAATAAGACATTCCTCATAAAATAGCATGTGACAGAGGGTGGTTGCCATAAATTTAACTAAACATGCCTATTAACATCCCAAAACAGGTTCAACAAATCCAAACCAGTGTACATTCCCAAAACGTTCACAACAATCCACGTGTTGGTGAGAACACACGAGTCTGCGGCTTTTCACAGAGACCCCCCCCCCCCAAAGCAGTGGAAATGTTAACACTGTGCTATAGGCAGTCTGCTCTAATGATCAACTGCATTCAAGGCGATCAATACTTCAAAATGAACATAATTCTTTAGGATTTATTTATTAACTTTATTTGGAACATAGCAAAAAACTATTTACAAATGTATCTGTAGAAACCACTTTCTTGGTTGCTCTTCTCCTTAAATAGAAAAAAACAGCAGGCCCTGAAATCTTAAAAGTAAACAGCTACCAAAAATATTTTTTAAAAGCGAATGTAAATAAAACCTCTTATCAGAGGCGAGTTACGTTCAGTCTCTGGTTTTCTGGCAGGGAGCCTCTTCACACTGATTGCTTTCTCTTGTGCCGATTCTGTGCCCAGAGAATTAAGCAGATTACAGGGAGTGTCACAAATTGGCCACGCGTACAATATCAAGTTAGTACAAGCTAAACAGAGATGCTCCAAAAATATAGTACTCTCTCACACTGCTCTCCACCAGTGTGTTTTGTCCCAAAAATATATTTCCATGTCTACACTGGTTTCAGTTTTCTGTCCTACAGGGAATTCGGTTTACAAAGACACCTGCAGTGCTGTGAGGCGCCTGAGGGAACAGAACCATCCTAAGTTTTGTTGTACACTTTTATTCGACAGCTCCTGGTGGTTCAGGTCTTCACTGTCTGAGGTTCCCTGGTTAAAACCACCATTAACCTCCTCACAGTTTCTTTCTCCGAGTGACAGGTTTTGTGAAAACAGTGTCCATGATGCGTTTGCGTCGAAGGTTCATGCTCGAGGTCGGGACCTCCCCCCTAATCACCTTCTGCGCTCGTGGGAGCGGATCAACTGGGCTGGGCAGAGGTGAAATCAGGTCCACTTGTGTAACGGGAGGTGGCTCCAAAAAGCCTTTGGATCTGAAGACAGAGAAAGCACAAGAAAGAAAAATATCTGAGTATGTTTTTGTTTTTTTTGTCTCGAAAGTACAATTTGTTAAAGAATCAAATGATTTTGAAAGATGATTTGTCTTTTAGTAAATACTGAAAGTTTTGATTTACAGTGAGGAACAGAAGTATTTGAACACCCTGTGATTTTGCAAGTTTTCCTACTTAGAAATCATGGAGGGGTCTGAAATTCACATTGTAGGTGCATTCCCACTCTGAGACAAAATAAAAAAAAATTTTCTGGAAATCACATTGTATGATTTTTAAAGAATTTG